CTGCATATTGTCCCTGCTCAGTAGAGCAGGAGTCCTGTCCACTCACCGTCCTGCTGGTACTTTCTCTGCATCCCCCGGCTGAATCTCATGTGAGCTCAAGAAAGACTGCCCAGCTCTCCAAAGTGATGTTCAAAAGCCACTGCAAAGGAATGCTTCTCCCACTGAGAATGCTGCCCAGTCTTCACCATCTCCATGCTGCCAACCTTTGATGCATATTGTGTACCCCTGAGGCCTCCAGGAGATGGTACCTTACCAGCCATCTCAGAAGTAAGAGCTGCCCTCTGCACTCTACAGTTCTCTGTATCACACAGCTCTTTATAAAAACAACTCATTCTGCACCTTCCTGCAGCCCCTCCTTAAACTCGCATCTCTGGGACAGGATCAGGGAACAATATCCAAGGCTGACTGCCCTTTTGCCCATCTAGGAACATATCACCAAACTGCCTTCTCATTCTCCTTCCACCAGAATGCTGTTCTGAAAACCAGCTCCTTTACCAGCCACATCCAGTCATACATGGATGGACAATAGCTGGGACCACATCTTCACACGCAGTGTGCACTGAGGCATAAACCCTGCTCACATCACTAATAGCCTAACTTCTATAAGAGTGCAGAGGAAATAATAAAATCATCTTCGATGAAACACCTCCAAAATGTCACATACTTTATACTTAATTCCTTTACTCCTGATGACAATGGCATTATTCTCATTTATAGATGAGAAAACTGAGGTGCATATGAGGATTGTTCTTGGCTCCAGTTGCACAGCAAATAAGCAATGAGGTCAAGGTGTTAAGTCAGGTCTATCTAATGCTGCAGCCCATGTCTTTCCCCTACCATGGTGCTTTTCCACATATATGAGTGGCATTTTATTCTTGTCTTGGCACTATTTCTTATTTTCCCTAAGAGACTTGAACAAGTTGTTATTTCCAAGGTCTCTAGTACCTTTGAGTTCCAAAGTATACCATCTACTGTTGAGTGGTCCCAAGATTGAATTTAGGGAATATCTAAAAATCATCATGAGCAGCTTGCTATTTCATGTTTCCATGGTGTTTTCCAAGGATTATTGTTGTCACAAAATGGGCATACTGATGGATAGCCCCTGGAGATTATATAGCCAGGGATCTGGAGGTGATTTAGCAATGTGGTTGGGAACACAAACTTTGGCGCTAGGCATAGCCTTGGGAAAGGAATTTTCCATGTGCACAAAAGCTACATTGTAGCTGGGAGCATGGGTGATGCCAACACAAGACACACAGCCAAGGCAGGCCAACCCTGTGGTATCTTAGCAGAAAGATCGATCTGGAGTGTAGGGAGGGGCCAGGAAGGCAGGAGACCAGTTATTGCAATGGTCCCTCTGGGTGGTGATGGGTGGTGATCCTCCAGTTCTACGTCAAGGTTTTCTGTACCCAAAGGGCAGGTGTTGTTGGAATAAAAAATTCTCCATCCTTCAAGTCTGCTGGGCTGCCTCCTGTGCTCTCTGATAACCAGAGTGTGAACCTGAGGACTGGGACCTCCAGCTGCCCTGTTCACCGAAACCTGGGCTTTATCCCAGGTGCCTAAGCATAGCAGGTGGTTAATAAACACCCACTGAATGAACAAATCAAATGGATCAACTTTAAATTCCATTATACATTTTATCTGCACAAAGTCTTTCTTCCCATCACCATGCTCAAAAGGTGTGAGGTTACAAACACTGATTCATTTAAAAAATATTTTTATAAAACCAACAAAAATATTATAGAATGACTAAAAATTGAAAAAGGGAAAAAATGGCCCATAATTGCTACTTTCAAAGTAACTGTTATCATGCTGCATGTTTCCCTCATATCTCGGTTTATGTGCTGGTCTAATTTTACACCTTTGCATTTATATGTCCATTCTATTATGTTTCTTCTAATTTTTTTAAACCACAGAACATTATTTCATAAGTATTCTGTGTTACTACCCAATCTCCCTAATTATTTTGCAGCACCCTATTGCATAATCTTAAAGTCAGGGCTTCACAAATTCAATTCGTGCATCATCAATACTCCATAGCACCCTTGCATATATATTCAGGAGTTTCTTCCACCTTCTAAACAAAAGTCTTTTTCTATGCATCTCCTTCTGGCCTTTCCCCCATGTCTCTGCTTCTTTTCACAGCAGAACTTTCCTTAAGTGTTGTCTGTATCCCGTTCTTCTTGAACCATCTCCACTCAACCTTCATCCCACCACTCCACAAATTGCTCTTATTAAGTTGACAATGACCTTAATGGTGCCAGTGGATAGTTCCAGACCCCACCTTACTTAACCTATTTTCTCCTGAATTCCAAGACAATTCCCCTTATATCCCTGACTGCCCTTCTCAGTTTCCTCAGGCTCCCAGTGTTGGCAGGTTCCAGAGTTGAGTCCACAGAGCTTGTCTTCCCTCTGTCTGTGCTCACTCCCTTGCAGTCTCACCCTCGCTCCTGCTATCTGTGTGCCCTGGGGACTCCCAGTTTCCCGTCTGTAGCCCAGACCCTTCCTCTGATTTGCAGACTTTTCCAACCACCTGCCCATTGGGCATCAGCACTTTCATTACTAATAGGCTTCATTCATAACCTTCACCTTCACGTATTAAAAAATGAGTGAAACTCCTGACCCTCCTCTTTAACCTTTCTCTCCCAGAGTCTTCCCATCTCAGTAAATGGAAATCCTATCTTTCCAGTTGCTCAGACCAATGGTCTTGGCATCATCTTTTATTCTTCTCTTTCTTTTCCACCCTACTTCCAACCTGTCAATAAATCCAATGGCGCTACCTAAAAATGTGTATAAAACCCGATCACTTCTGATCGTCTCCACTTGTCAAAGCCACCATCCTATGACATCTGAATACCTTAAGAGTACCCTAACTTCACCCAGCTTTGCTCCCTACAGCTTATCCTCAATGCAGCAACCAGCGTGAGTTCCTGTTAGTGTAAGTCAGAGGAGCTATGCTCCAAGCAGTCCAAAAGCATGCATGCTATCTTAGTCTGGTTAGGCTGCTATAACTCAACACTACAGAATGGGGGGTTTATAAATGCCAGAAATAAAGGCTGGAAATTGAAGATGAGGGTGCTAACATGGTCTGGTGGGGGCCCTCTTCTGGGTCACAAACTTCTTGTTTTATCCTCATACAGTAGAAGGGGCGAGGAAGCTCTCTGGGGTCTCTTTTCTAAGGGAACTAATCTCATTTGTGATGTTTCTGCCCTCTTGATCTGATCACCTCCTGAAGGTGCCACCTCCTAATACCATCACATGGGCATTAGGATTTCAACACAAACATTCAGACCATAGCACATACTGTCACTCACAGAATGAAAGCCAAAGTCCTCTGAGCCTGCAAACACTTCTACATCTGACGTCCACACCTGGACCTTGTCTCTGCTCTCATCCCAGCTTACTCCACTATCCTTAAACAGAATTCCTTACTGTTATTCATACACCATGCTTCTACCACAGGACCATTGAACTTGCAGATTTCTGTGTCAGAAATGCTCTTTCCAGAGATACCTGACCTTCCAACTCTTTCCAGTATTTGTTCAAATATGAGGGCTTCTCTGACTACTCTGAAAAGTAGTGAAAAGGGCGGTCCAATCCCCTCCTTTCCTATTTCTCTTGCTTGCCTTATGTCTTTTTATATGATCCTACCATATAGTTTACTTACTCATTTTTGTACTGTAGACCCTGAGATAGAGATTTTTATCCTCTCTTGTCCACTGCTCTATATGCCACTACACTTGAACAGGCATCCGTTCTGTCATTCATATGCCATGCTCAGTGTCTAGAACAGTGTATGACATATATTTGTTGAATGAATTAATGTAGGGTCTAGCACCAGAGAGTTAAAAGTCTCACCCATACAACATGAGAACGCAGAGCCCGAGAATGAAGAGCAGGAGCTGCATCTGTGCCTCTATTGTGCATTCATCGCAGTGGTCCAGCCATCACAGCTAGCCTCAGGACACAGCTGTCCGCTATTTGAGGGTGAAGACTGTTGTATCATTCCTGTGCTTCTTTTTTCTTTTCAGCTTTATCAAAGTGTAACTGACAAATTAAATTGTAATATAATCAGTGTCCAAAGCAATGCTTTTATATACATATACCATTCCTATACTCCTACCACCCAGTAAGAGGCCTGCAGTATAATAGTTGCTCATTAAATATTTGTTGATTGTTAAGAAGCAAGAAAAGGACTCCTGAAAATAGAGACTGGAAATACTCATACCAGCTTTATCGCTTTCCCAGTTTTGCCTTGGCCCAGCTGTATACTAAATTTATTCACTTGTTTACTTAATCAGTCAACAAATGCAGCTTTGCAAAATCATGTGATGGTTATTATTACAAACAGTGTTTCTCCAAAGGAAAATGCAAAGACTGATTCCTCTAACTCTTTCCCTAGAAGTGTTTTTGTTTCAAAGAGAAACTTCAGTGCCCCCATCCAGTCAGCACGAATGTCAAATGCACTCTGTCTGGCCAAGCACAGGGTGTTTTTAGCTCCATTCCCTGCTCCAGAATTTGGGACAGCATTTCCCTCCCCCACCAGAGTGCATTGATGGCTGCTCACCACATAGCATATGTGTGGTCACATGCAATTAAGTGGGTGCAGGCCGTTGGTAGACAAGACGGCATGAAATATGCACAAATGAGCCAACAAGCAAACAGTGGAAACTGGAGAGGAGAGATGGCTGTGCGCGCCCCACCACTTGCAGAAGGCTGACATTGCTTTCTTTCCTCATTTCCTTGCACTTGCTCAGAGCCACACCAATCGCCCTGCTAGTGCTATAGTCCCTGGTTTGCACACAAGACACCAGGAGAGAGACCGAGAAGCTCGTCTTGCCTGTGAGTAAGAGGAACGGTCCTTCATGCCACTGACCTTTTGGTGACACCTTTGGTGACACCTGAGTGTGGCTATTGTAGGAGTTCAACAGCAGTAGATATTTTGGCTGAACCTCCTATTCAGATTGAGCAGTTGACTTGATAATTCATGTCTCTTCTAGAGGAAGAAATGCTTCCAAAGGAAAATGAAACTGCCGTCTTTGCACCGGCTCAGTCCTCATCCCAGAGGGGCCTGTTCCAACCGCATTCAGGTCTGTGCCCATTCAGTTCCTTTGGGTTTTTTCTGCATTGTTGTATTTTAAGCAGACAGTATGCAGTTGTAGTCACAATTGTGTGAGTCAAAAGGGCGGAACTGATACACCAACCCACACATGATCTCAGATGCATTGTGCTAGTCGGTGGTCCTCAATAGGCTGATTTTGCCCCCCAGGGGACATTTGGCGATGTCTGAATACACGTTTGGTGGTGACAGTTGGGGAAGGACATGCTACTGGAATCTAGTGGGTAGAGTCCAGGGATACTACTAAATATACTATCATTCACAGCACAGATCCCACAACAAAGAATGATGTGGCTCCAAGGTCAACAGTGGCGAGGCTGAGAGCTCTGTGCCAAGTGAAAGCAGGTTCCTAGGCTACACACTGCGTAATTCCATTTTCCTGACGCTCTGTACGAGGCCAAACGACAGGGAAAGAAAATATACCAGTGGGAGCCAGGAGCCAGGGCTGAGAGAGAGGACTGACTTCCAGGGGGCACAAGGGAATTTGTGGCATGGAAATGTTCTCTATCTTGAGTGTGGTGGTGGTCACACATATGTATGTTTGTCAAAACATGCAGGACCGTACACTGAAAAGGTAAATTTCATCGATATAAATCATACCTGTAACAAACAAACAAAATGAAGCAATTTGAACCAAAGAAACTATGGAGAAGAATGGAAAAAGTAGCCACCAAAAATCTGGGAAACAGGGGTCAATGTGGTAAGACAAGAAATGAAGGGAAACACAGAAAGACATATATATTTTTAATACTAAATTATTGACTTCCCTTCAGCAAATGACACCTTATCAAAAGCAACTTTTTTGTGATGGACTAAAACCTTTATAAAACAGCTTGATTGAGGTATAAGTATCATGCAGGGAACTTCACAGACTTAAAATGTATAATTTGCTATGTTTCAACTTACATACCTGTTAAACAATAATCACGATCGTAGTGAATACATCCATCACTTTCAAAAGTTTCCTGCTGTCCCTGAATAGCCCTTCCCTCCCAGGAAAATAACAACAACACCAAAGTCATAGAGTTGGTGTGAGAATTTACATGAGATTCGAGGGGAGAGAAAGAGAGCCTCATATACCCCTTGCCTTTTTACTCTGGGTGGAAAGGCAAGAACCGAGCAGCAGAGCGCCTGGATCCCATGCCTAGATTTACTGCTTATTCTTGGTATTGGATGCAAAGGAGTTGAAGATTTAAAAAGTCCCATAAGCAATGATAATGTGCTCAGTAAATACTTGTTGAATGAATGAATAAATGCAACAGATCTGTGAGATTAAAAATCTGGCTTTAGAGACCAGAATAACACAGTGGAAGAAACAGAGACAAACAGAAGACATGATATAATCACATGGTACTAAATGCAAGTGCATTTTAACTAAAGTATATATCAAATCAAATTTGTGTTCTTCTCCATAACACACACTCTTCTTCCTGAGATCCCTGACCTGGAAGCCTCGAATTCCCATTCCTCAAGGTCACACTCAGTTCTGTAGACACCCATTCCTGCTGATCCACTTCCTCTCTGGACGCTTTCACCTCCTCTTCACCTCCATGGCAAGTTCAACTCCCATCCGCTCTTACATGGGCTCTGCAGTAGTCCTCTTAGCCTTTCACTTCTAGTCTTTCTTCTCTGAAGCCTAAACCTTTCCTAAAACGCCCCAGTACTTTCCTGCTCCAAATCTCTACTAACTTTTCATTCCCCTAATTTAAAGCTTCACTTCCTTTTCATTACCTGGACTAAGTTTAGCTTGTCAGTCTGACCCACACCTGAAGTTTTGTCCATACCTATTGTATTCACCTTTCTCCAAATATACCACAATCATTCCTTTCTCTGAAACATTTTTCCTTAAATTTTTTGTATTAAGGTATCATTAATACTCTTATGAAGGTTTCACATGAAAAACATTGTGGTTAATACATTCACCCATATTATCAAGTCCCCCCCATACCCCACTGAAGTCACTGTCCATCAGTGTAGTAAGAGGCCACAGAGTCACTACTTGTCTTCTCTGTGCTACACCGTCTTCCCCATGACCCTCACACACACCATGTGTACTAATCATAATACCCCTCAATCTGCTTCTCCCTCCCTCCCCACCTGCCCTCCCCCACCCCTCCCCTTTGATAACCGTTACTCCCTTCTTGGAGTCTGTGAGTCTGCTGCTATTTTGTTCCTTCAGTTTTGCTTTGTTGTTACACTCCACAAATGAGGGAAATCATTTAGTATTTGTCTTTCTCTGCCTGCCTTATTTCCCTGAGCTTAATACCCTCTAGCTCCATCCATATTGTTGCAAATGGTAGGATTTGTTTTCTTCTCATGGCTAAATAGTATTCCACTGTGTATATATACCACCTCTTCTTTATCCATTCATCTACTGATGGACACTTAGGTTGCTTCCATATCTTGGCCATTGTAATTAGTGCTGCAATAAACATAGGGATGCATATGTCTTTTTGAATCTGAGAACTTGTTTTCTTTGAGTAAATTACTAGGAGTGGAATTCCTGGGTCAAATAGGATTTCTATTTTTAGTTTTTTGAGGAACCTCCATATTGCTTTCCACAATGGTTGAACTAGCTTACATTCCCACCAGCAGTGTAGGAGGGTTCCCCTTTCTCCACATCCTCACCAGCATTTGTTCCTAGTCTCTTCAATGCTGGCCATCCTAACTGGTGTGAGATGATATCTCATTGTGGTTTTAATTTGCATTTCTCTGATAATTAGTGATGTGGAGCATATTTTCATGTGCCTGTTGGGCATCTGAATTTCTTCTTTGAGAATTGTCTGTTCATATCCTCCACCCATTTTTTTTGATAGGGTTATTTGCTTTTTGGGTGTTGAGGCACGTGAGTTCTTTACATATTTTAGATGTTAACCACTTGTCGGATATGTCATTTACAAATATATTCTCCCATACTGTAGGATGCCTTTTTGTTCTACTGATGATGTCTTTGCTGTACAGAAGCTTTTTAGCATGATGTAGTCCCATTTGTTCATTTTTTTATTTTGTTTCCCTTGCCTGAGGAGATGCTTTCAGGAAAAAGTTGCTCATGTTTATATTCAAGAGATTTTTCCCAAATCTCCTTCTAAGAGTTTTATGGTTTCATGACTTACATTCAGGTATTTGATCCATTTTAAGTTTACTTTTGTGTATGGAGTTAGACAATAATCTAGTTTCATTCTCTTGCATGTAGCTGTCCAGTTTTGCCAGCAACAGTTGTTGAAGAGGCTGTCATTTCCCCATTGTATATCCATGGCTCCTTTATCATGTATTAATTGACCATATGTGCTTGGGTTTATATCTGGGCTCTCTATTCTATTCCATTGGTCTATGGGTCTGTTCTTGTGCCAGTACCAAATTGTCTTGATTACTGTGACTTTGTAGTAGAGCTTGAAGTCAGAGAGTGTAATCCCCCTGGTTTATTCTTCCTTATCAGGATTGCTTTGGCTATTCAGGGTCTTTTGTGGTTCCATATGAATTTTAGAACTGTTTGTTCCAGTTCATTGAAGAGTGCCATTGATATTTTGATAGGGATTGCATTGAATCTGTAGATTACTTTAGGCAGGATGGCCATTTTGATAATATTAATTCTTTCTATCCATGAGCATGGAAATTTCCATTTACTGGTGTCTTCTTTAATTTCTCTCATGAGTGTCTTGTAGTTTTCAGGGTATAGATCTTTCACCTCATTGGCTAGGTTTATTCCTAGGTATTTTATTCTTTTTGATGCGATTGTGAATGGAATTGTTTTCTTGATTTCTCTTTCTGATAGTTCATCATTATATATAGGAATGCCACATATTTCAGTGTATTAATTTTGTATCCTGCAACATTGCTGAATTCAATTATTAGATCTAGTAGTTTTGGGGTGGATTCTTTAGGGTTTTCTATGTACAATATCATATAATCTTCAAACAGGGACACTTTAACTTCTTCTTTACCAATTTGGATGCCTTTTATTTTCTTTGTGTTGTCTGATTGCCATGGCTAGGACCTCCAGAACTATGTTAAATAAAAGTGAGGACAGTGGGCATCCTTGTCTTGTTCCCTATCTTAAAGGAAAAGCTTTCACCTTCTCACTGTTAAGTATGACGTTGGCTGTGGGTTTGTCATATATAGCCTTTATTATGTTGAGGAACTTGCCCTTATACCCATTTTGTTGAAAGTTTTTATCATGAATGGACGTTGGATTTTGTTGAATGCTTTTTCCGTATCTATGGAGATGATCATGTGGTTTTTGTCCTTTTTGTTGATGTGATGTATGATGTTGATGGATTTTTGAATATTGTACCATCCTTGCATACTTGGAATAAATCCTACTTGATCATGATGGATGATCTATTTGTATTTTTTAATTTGATTTGCTAATTTTTTTTAGTATTTTTGCATCTATATAAGGGATATTGGTCTGTAATTTTCTTTTTTGTGTTGTCTTTGGTTTTGGTATTAGAGTGATATTGGCCTCATATAATGTTTTCCTTAATTTTTAAAAATTGTGGTAGGATCTACATAACATAAAACTTATAATTTTAGCCATTTTTAGCTGTGCATTTCTGTGACATTAAGTATATTCACGTTGTTCTGCAACCATCACCACTTTCCATCTCTTAAACTTTTCATCACCTCCAGCTGAAACTTTGTCCCCATTAAGCACTAACTTCCCATTTCTCCTTCCCCAGGATCCTGGTAACCACTACCATTCTACTTTCTGTTACTATGAATTTGGCTATTCTAGGTATCTTATATTAATGGAATCATGCAATGTTTGTTATTTTGTGTCTTTTATTTTATCACGTGGCATAATGTCTTCAGGGTGCATCCATGTTGTAACATATGTCAAAATTTCATGCCTTGTTAAAGTTAGATAATATTCCATTGCATGTAGAGGCCATATTTTGTTTATCCCTTGAACTGTCAATGAACAGCTGGGTTGTTTCCATCTTTTGGCTGTTGTGGATAATGCCACTTTGA